AAAATTTCATTTATTTGTAATTAAAAATAAATATTTCACAATATATAATTACATATTGTTTTCATGATCATTCACTATGCTTTATGTAACAATTAAATTAATTAAATTATGTAAACAGTTAAACAATTTAATTATGTAACAATAAAAATACATCCTGCATATCAGATATTTACATTACAATTCATAACAGTAGCAAAATTACAGTTATGAAGTAGCAGTGCAAATGATTTTATGGTTGGGGGTCACCACAACATGAGGAACTATATTAAAGGGTCACGACATTAAGAAGGTTGAGAACCACTGCCCTAGGTGCTAAACTTTCTGATAGCCAGGCACCATGTAATTTCTTCACTGTACTTTGCTATAGTACCCATAACTTCAGTGATCCCTTCATGAAGGTAAGTATTGAGTGGAAGCAAATCATAAGAATTGATTGTGTTCTTAGGCTAGGGCTTACAGTTAAGTGTGAGTTCAAAATCCATTCACACATACAAAGATCCATTGGCTTTCAGTTAGTAGCTGAGTGCACTAGTGGGTTGCCTTCAGCAACATACTTCCAAAGTGAAAAGCTGGTTTAAAAATTTGGTCTTTAAAAAAATATTCTTTTTTGGTCTTGCAGTTTTTTGTTCCATTATTTCACTTTCTGCTATATAATGCAGGTCCAATAACTTCCTCACCCATTCACCTGCATTTATGCAGCATTGTTTTCTATATTTTTATTAACTTCAAAAAAGACTTCTTTCTTATGCAAGTTACAAATTATACATACTGTATTAAGATAATCATGGTAGTTACTGTTGGTAGATACGAAGTAAAGTCAGAAGGTATTGCTACGAAAGTTCCAGTTTACACAGATTTCAAATAAAATGTATTTCAACATGCTGCTGGGATCTGTGGAAGCAGCAGACAAATTCTCTTGGTAATATGTTTAGTTTCAGTTTCATTAGGATACACTACAACAAAAACAACTTCCAGTGGAAACAGTGGCTTGGCAGGGAAGGGGTTGGATTTAATGGATTAGTTAAAGGCAAAGAGGCCAGCTCAGAAGGTGCTGGTAACTTGGGTTGTTGTTGTTGATGTTGTGTTTCCCCTATCCCCACCCCCTTAGAACTCCAAAGGGATAATTTTGATAGATTTTTTTAAAGGACACAGGACAATCACTTGGGCTTATGATGAAGAAGTTTTAAGAAAACTATATTAGAGGGCTGGGGGCGCTGGGAGCCAGGAAAGTTCTGCCCAGAAAATTTTTTCAGCACAACAGTTTGCATGCTCATTCTTCAAGAGTAGCAAATGCTGGTCTGATGAATTTTACTGGGAAACCTTATCCTATCCACCTTACAGCTCCGGTCTTGCCTGTTCAGACTTTTGTTCCCAAAGCTCCTGAATATGTCAAAGGAACACAGATTGCCAAAATTACGGTCTTGAGATGTTAGTAGAAGAGTCCAGAATGCTTGCTAGAAAGGTAGCGGTGGTGGTGGTGGTGGTGGTGGACTGCTCTTGAGCTGGGTCCAGCTACCCGGCCCTGCACCATCCTGACAGTGTTGTTAAGTTTGAGCCTACTGTTAGAGTCACTGTGTCCATCCATCTCATCCAGGGTGGTGATCTTTTTTGCTGCCCTGCTACTTTGATAGATATAAGTTTCCTGGGACTAGGAACACATCTAAAGTACATGAGACAAAGTTTCATCATCCTTACCTCTAAGGAGCATTATGGTCATACTTCTTCCTCGATAGCGCTGTTGGTTCTTTGGCAGTTCTTGGTTCTTTCAAGGGTCATTAGGCTTAGGGAGATGGAAACATCAGCTTCATAAGTGTATAGATGTAATTTTTTTTTTTTGACATAGCAACTTTATCACCTTCAAAGTACTCTTCCATTACACTTAATATATTTGTCAAACCTACGATTCCATTCTCGGAAACATTTTTCAGACTCGTCTATTTGGATGGCTGACAACACCCCCCTTGTTTTTTCTTCACCTCTTCTACTTGTCAAATCACTGTCCTTTCATATCCTTCTTCATTTGACGGAAACAAAAAGAAGTCACAGAGTGAGATCAGGTGAGTAAGGTGTGTGGGGCAAGAGAGACGTGCTGTTTTTTGCCCCAAACTGGCGCTCTGAAATGGCTGCACCAATAAGTTTTTTTGTCCTGGTCGCACAACCAGTCCCTTGTCTGCCACAAATCAGGCCTTTTTTGTCACTCACTGTTAAGCAATCTTTTCAGGACCTCTAAATAGAAAGCTTGATTAACAGTCTGACCTGGTGGAACACACCAAATGCACTATGAGTTGACATTTTCATCCATTCAGGAAGTTGATGGATGTCCAGAACAAGGTTTGTTATCAATTGACATTTCACCTTTTTTGAAATGACAAAACCACTCCTACACTTGAGTTTTTCCCTGTGTTCAACATCACAACATTTCTGAGGTGTTATTCCCAAGCAGGAAACAAAATTTCACAGCTAGCTGTATGCTGTTCTCTTAAATCAGCCATCACAAAAAACTAGGTTTGAGCGAAACTGCGTTTACAAAAATATTCACTGTGACCGGAGAGAACCTTTCCAGGCGTTGCCACTGGGTGCACTAACTCAGAGTGAGTTGCTTGATGCGCGCCTAGTGGGAAAAATGCATACTATAAAAGCTACGTCCACCCAGCGTAATTCCAGTAGGGTTTTTTGGTTTTGTTTTGTTTTTGATACCTCCTCGTATATAACATAGCTTATTTCAGGAATGCAACCCCTATATAATTATAGAATTCTATAGAATTTAAAAGTAGCAGAATTTAAAAGTGCCAATCGATTAAGGTTCATGCTCTTTTTAAACTTTGCTTTTGCTTGGTTTGATTGAAGGAGAAGAAACTATTTCAAGGTCTTCCAATTATTTAAAGGTTTTAAGGCTGCTCTTTTCTCAGTTTTTTCTCGAAACTTTCAAATTCTTGTTTCTGTCATATTTCTTTTAGATTTTCCCCTCTCCAGTTTCTTTCTTTATCTAGTGTCTTTAAATCTTATTTCTAATATTTTTCAAAAATAATTTTATTTGGTTCATGTAAATGTATTTGTTTAATGATGTTGCAGGAATGCCGGTCATTCTGTTTTACTTAGGTGACAGTAGTGCTGGCCTTGGGTAAGCTGTAACAGATGGATAGTCAGGCAATTCAGCGAAAAAGTAAGATCTTACTATGAGAATCAAAATATAACCTCTTCAGAAATAGAAACATATTCTTTCGCTCAGTATGATAATTACCAGTAATACATATTTATAATAAATAGAATGTGGATTCTAAAAATTATGAATTGGGTGAAGGTTTCTAAAGCATGTGTCAGTTTCATATTCAGTAATTTGTACACACTCTGTTTCATCTCATTTTTGCCATCTGTTCAGTGTAAGAGCACTTACCCCATTTCCTTCTTCTGCTTCCTGTCGCCGGTCCTCCTCCTTCCCTAACCTTTTTGAACTTTGTCTTTGGCTGTCCTCTTTATCACAAATGGTGGATTGTTCTAAGGAGTGTGGCTCTCATTAATGTTATTGTTTACCTAATGAATCTGTGTATTGTTCGGTTACAAAGAGACCCAGGGGACTGTGGTAGTTACATAATCTGGTGTCAGTTTGAGGATTCAGAGTGAAGGGGTGGAGTTTAGCCTGTCAATCTAGTTGCAGCTTAGTGACCTCATTTGGAGGTGCTAAGGAGATAAATAGCTGGCAGGAGGGCAGGACATGGGCTCACTTCCTGGGAGACATTGCAGCTGACAAGACACATGGAACTATGCTAGTGCCTGAGCTGAAGGAGCCACATGGAGACCCGTACCAGCACTGAGAGGCTTACAATGTCACTGGATTCACAAGACTTCCCACCCATAGCCTGTTATCTTTCTGCACTTGGCATCATTGCACGTATTTCGTGAGTCTGAAGTGGACTTTATGGATAGGTATCAGACATAAGGGCTAATATCAGACATATGGACTTGATCTGGACTAGGCTGGGATGTTTTCTCAATATTCAATTGCTCTTGTATAGAAAGCTTTTTCTTGTACATATATGAGTCTCCCTGGACTTGTTTCTCTAGTTCCACCACGGACTGACACGGGTGGATTCAGTTCATGCTTCAAGCAAGACAAAGGGCCACTGTCGTAGGGTCTCGTCTCCGTATGACCAGGAAACCTGGTCTTCTTTATGATTTGACTTTTGTTCCACATTCTACCCCTATCTCCTTATTCTGTTCAGGACCTTCTAGTGTGATCCCTTTAGGGGCATTTGGTAATGGAGGCTGGCACCATTTAATTCTTCCGGTCTCAGGGTCATAGAGACAGTGTGGTTCATGGGACTGAGTGTTTTGCACTTTGCTTTAGATGGACCAAAGTGGACATTGGGTGAATCTCGAAAAGACAACCCAAGTAAGAGAAGCCGGTCACAACAGACCTTTCCTCCAGTTAACACAAGATGTTCAGTATAGGCCAGTCTGTTAAAATAGAAAATCGATTAATTGTTACCAGTAGCTGGAGAGAAGGAAGAATGAGCAATAACTCAATGCTAATGAGTATGAGGGTGATTTATGGAGTGTTGAAAATGTTCTGAAATTGAAGAATACTAGTACAATACAAGCCACTGATTTCTGATTTTACCCTTAAGAGGACAGATTTTATAGTATATGAATTATATCTCAACATCTGTTATTAAGAATAGATTACTTAACAAATTCAAAAATACTTTTGCCAAGAAAACCTTTTGCTTTAAGATTTAGGGGAGGAGTAAATGTCCGTTTGTATTCCTGGTATTGCAAATAGAGGAATTGATTTTCGTAAATGGTTATGTAGATATATGTCAAAGGAAATTTTAGTAGGTAATAGTTTTGCAGTTCAGCTTTTCTGTTCATAGTTATTGTGAATGTCTAAGCAAATGTGTATTTTAAACAAAGCAACTATCCATAGTTTAGTTTGTTCTATAAATGTAAGTGATTTATTTTAGGATTTAACAAGTCTAATCGTTTCTTTTTCTTTCAAACAGGACCTGGAAATAGTGTACTCCTATTTGCATGGCATGGAAGCTTTGTCAAACTTGAGGGAGCATCAACTTAGGTATGTCATTGTAAAATTGATTTGACATTTAATTACTAGAATACTAAAACTTTATCTGATCACTTAAATTATAGTTAAGATGTGGACTTAAAGTTACGGCTTACTTATGAATTATTTTTCCCATAGCACCTGTATTCAGCTTTTGATAATTTTTGCAAAATTTAATTCCATTTTGTCACACAATAGATTTTCAACATTTCTGTTATAGCAATTAATATCCTCTTCCACACACACACCCACATACACAGTCATAAACACTGTGCTTGGTGAATATACCAAAACCGAAAGCAACCGAATCCGTTTCCTTTGTGTTTCCAACTCATGGCAATTCCACATGTTCTTAGGGTAGAACTAGTCCCTAGAGATTTTGCTGGTGTAACATTATGGAAGTACTCTAAGGGACAAATAGCGATTTGCTGTTCTGGAAGGTAAAGCTCTATCGCTTCATTCTGAAGGAGGCCTGCAAGCATGTGCGCTAGACTTTGTTCTGTTAACTGCAGAGTTACTCAAAACCACCAGCAGCTCCCAATGAGAAAGTGCGGCTGTCTGTTTCCATAGAGAGTTACACTCTTGGAAACCCGCTTGGTGTCACTGTGAGTCGGAGTTGACTCAGTGACAGTTGATGGAACTCAGCTCTGATGCTCTCAGGGGCATCAGGATTGAAAATGTTTGCAGTATTCAAAGAATGATTAGGTTTATTGTTTTAGTATGTTCTAGGTATTTGTATAGAACATTTATTATAATATGTAGATTGCTGTTTTCTAGGAAACATTGTATTGTGTTTTTAAAAATTTTTTTAATTTTAATGTAGACTGTAATATATAAAAGACTCGCCGATTTTACTGTAGCGTGACAGCTCAAAAAAATCAAACTTACAACCATTGAATCTATGTTTTATTTATGGCTATTTGGGATTCATATTACAAACAGAATAGTTTACATAATCCAGTGAATTTCACCTTCACTGAAACATAAAATAAAAAGATTTGAGATGATGGACTGCTTATAAAAAGAAGCTAGAATGTAATGGAAAGGTTTTGTTTAAGAAGTTTCATTTCCAACAAATCTAGAAAGGGGCGATGCCACTAGTTTCTTATGTATTTCCCCTATACTTTTAAACACTAATTAGTTTGTGAGCATGTCAATTTTATATTTAGTTGTTAATTGAAAAGAGTATCATGAGGATTGAGTACTTCTAAAATTAAAAATTTCAAATTAAATAGATTGCAGGTTAAGTTTTTAAATATTGAGTAAAGTTTCATTAGCGAGGACAAAACCATTGGGATTTTTAAAGATAGCTCATATTAAAGCAAGATTAACTTTTTAAAAATGTGTAACTTTTATTTTGTGTATTAGAAACAACCACTGTTTTGAAAACATTTTTTCTGCAAACGAAACCATTGCCAATGATCTACTTTAATGGACTGTAGCTAATCTTTAAATACAAATGCAATAAATCCTTAATGCAAATTTTTTGTTCCTGTGGTACATGTAAAGCATGCGATGCACGTCTATGTTGTATGCGGCTATAAAATTATTTAGATAATAGGAGTTCAGAGCAATAAAATAAATTTTAATTTTTCCTATGGAAAATGGAAAAAGTAGCAATATGTGTAACCTACCTTAAATCCATTAACCAGCTTTATAATTATAAGCTTTCTACATCCCAAAGGAAATTTTTGGTTAAAAATAATTCAAATACATGAATATTGAGTCTGTCAATGTAAGGCTGTATTTAAATCTTATGCAGTTTTTTTTTTATTGGTATGAATTTGCAAAAACAGCCTTTAGGATGTTTATATTCTACTTGTGTTGAGAGCCATTTGTTTCTCACATTTATGGGAAAAACTAGCTTAAACTAACATACTTTTCTTTTAGAGCAAGGTCAGGCATGTCTAAATGAACAACAAAAAGGGGATACAAAGAAATCTAACAATTCAGAAAAACTGCTGTATATTTTCAGCATGTCTGAGAAAAATTTATCTCACGTCGATAAATTATTTTCCATGAATTTTAAAATGAAAAGACTTAGACCTGGGAAGAATAACACTTAGTTCGAACATCCACAAATAAAATAGTTTTTCTCTGTTGGGGAGAGGTGGCAAAATGTACATAATTAAGATTTCCAAAGTCTTTTTATTTTACAGTGGACAGTAGAGCAGAGTTCTCGTCTTCTGGAGGGAAAGAGGCATTCCATTTGAAAATTTCAGTGCTGCCTCTGTATTATTGTGGTTCAT